ATATAATAAATATAATTGAGTATAAATTTTTTATGTATTTCATATATAATAAATAAAATTGAGTATAAATTTTTTATGTATTTCGTATATAATAAATAAAAGAAAATTACTACGTACTTCTTCGAATAGTCCAAGAACTTGTAAAAGTTCTTTAATTAATTCCCATTCTGAATTTGTTAAGTTGATTTCTCGTAATCGTTTTCCATCTTTACGATTATTAAAATTATCATGTGATGTAAGATAAATGATCAAAAGCTCAATATAAACCTTAATTTGAACTAATCAAATCCAAGCTAAATAAGAACTATTCCATCGAGTTCTACAATCTGAAATGCAGTTTCTTCTGCATTCTTTAATTATATTAAAAAAAATTAAAATGATATAAATAATTAATTATTAAATAATAGTACTAAATTTACTACACGTATCATGTTTGGGTTTTTTTTCTGAATCTCTTCCAATCGTTCAAACTGTTTAGGATGTAAGAAAAAATTAATCAAACATTTAGTATGGGCAATTAAAGATTCTACTGATAATAATGCCTTTCCTATTACTAATTGTAAAGTATGAGAACTGCAACGTTACCACATGACTTTATTCATTTTCATTATAGCTTTTTTTATATTTGAACCACTATCAGTAGTTATAAAATATACTTTTCTATAAAGATCCCAATATTTAAGAATTTTTTCTACTGTCTCACGGATATGATCAGCTGTATGAGGATAATGAACATATTGGATTGTAAGAGTTATTTCTTTTAATTTAAATTGACAATCAATATATGAGCATATAATTTCAATATAGTCTTGATGATTTTTGGCTGTCCATAAATCCATTGTAAATGAGACTTTAAGTGCATTATGTTTAATAAATTCTCATAAAATAGGAACTGAATAATTATAAGCTTGATGAATAATTTGCTTAATTAATTTAATATCAGAAATTAGAAATGCTAGATCAAGCTCATTTATAAATCGATGAAAAAATTCACTTTGAACAATAATTAAAGAACATGAATCTGCTATGAGCCAAGTAACAAGTAATTGTTGTAATTTCTTTTGTCGCTTTTCATCATGAGGACGAATAGATCTTATCTAAATTTTATCAAATTAATTGTATTAATATTAATATCAAAATTAATATATATAATATATCGTATATATATATTAATTTACCATTTTAGAAATTTGATCGATTTTTGTTATACCATGTTCAGCACTTAAATAGCTAATAAGATTACTAGTTAAGGAACCGGCTTTGTATTTTCTTCCACATTCTTTATCATTTGATATTTCAATTTTACATATTGAATATTTCGTCCATTTGCCTTTCTTATTATGAAGTTCTTGTCGAAAAAATGTCCACACCCAACTGATCTTTTCTGATAAATCCAAATGAACAATTTCTTCTTCATTAGAAGATTCGTTAAAATCAGAAATCTTAGAGTCTGGAATATTAGAATCAGAAATATTAGAGTCGGGAATGTTAGAATCAGATATATTTCGTCTTCTATTAGAAGCAGTCATTTTTTACTAAAAGTATTAGAAATAACAATAAAATAAATAAATAAATAAATAAGTGTTTAAAATTTTGGTGCACCTGCACCATGGTGCACCCTAGCTATATCTCAAAATTTTACTAGGGTAACCTTGTCGTGCAACTAATAAAAAATTTTTCTATTACAATTTTACCTAACACTAACCTAAACCCTAACTCTAACTCTAACTAATCATAATTTTACTTAAAATTTGCTATATTTCAAAATTTTACTAGAGTAACCCCTGTTGTATAACTAAGTAAAAATGCTCCTCTTACAATTTTATATAACCCTAACTTTAATCTAACTCTATTCTTAACTCTAACTCTAACCCTAACTAATTTTTACCTAAGAACTTGCTATAGAGGTGCATCAAAATATTAAATCCAATAAATAAATATATAATAAACATTATTTATAGTTGCTGATTCATAATATAATTATTATGTATTTATTATTATAGTCACTGATTAATTTAACTGGATATCCGGATATCTGACGGATAATCAAAGTCTATCTGAGTATAATTAATTTGCAGATAGTTTATTTATAAATCTGCATAGAATCAGAGGATTATATAGATAGCTAGGATTTTAAGGCTACAGATTGCTACTCTAGTTTTGATAGTGGAAAAACGTTAGCAAAAGCTTTATACAAAAATTCTACACTAACTTCTTTAGATCTTAACAAAAATCAAATTGGTCTCTTTTTAAATGTTAGTGAATTCTATTCTAAATTCTCTAGTAAATCTAAGTGCTAGATTATAATTGACTTCAGTTCTGAAAATATTACTTTTAGATTTTATAGATCTTCCCATAAATAACTAGTATATTTCTATTGTTTATTTTTGACGTAATTTGTTGACTAGAGAAAAACCTTTGCTTAAAATACAAGAATATACAAAATAGGTGTGATAATAGTATTAGAAATAGTTTAAATAATAAAGCCAAAATAGATATTTAATAAATAAAAGTTGTATAGTACTAGACAACAAAAACCATCTACTTTTTTATATATAAATATAAAAATACTTATAACTTATAAACAAAAAACTTTTTAAAAAATCTGTCTTACAGATTTGTTGCTTTTAGTCTAAGCTACAATTCTGTAAGACAGATTTTTATTTTTATTATAAATTTATAAAATTTTTAAAGCTTAAATTTTATAAATTTACATATAAAGACCAAAATTTGGCGCTTATTATATAAAAAAAATCAATTTTATATTTTAACCAATCAAATTTTTGTTACACAAAAATTAGCCAATCATAATAATTATAAATCCTCAAATTTAGAGCTTTTTTTAACAAAATGAATGGTTTTTGCTGTCCGGTACTGTATTAATAATAAACGTCTTGCTTGAATAATTATGAACAATAAATTAAAGTTATTTTGAATTTGAATCTTAGTTATTATGTATATCAAGATAGAACCTCATATTTACATTGATAAGGAATCTTAAATAAAGGAGTAAAGAATTTTAAATCAACTTTAACTTGATTTCAAACTTATTTAGTAGATTAATTTTAAAATTATAATCAATCAAAACTGGCTTCTTAAAATAATATAATAATAAATTCAGCTTTAGTAAAAAAAAAATAAAGTTACAATTTAGAAACAAGTTCTATGCCTGCTTATGTTTTGGAGCTTTTTATTTTTATATTTCTTGTTAATGTTTATTGGTTGAAAAGAGTGTTCTTCTATAAATTTTCATATAAATAATCATACCAAGCATATCTGTTAATTAGTTGGAAATTAAATAAATTACCCAAATGAGTTACCATTTTATTTTGCATATCAAATATAATAAACAGTTAATTCTCAACAAATTTCTAACTGGTCTATTTTTAATGTTCGAAGTTTTTAAAATAAATAATAAATAAATTATTAGTTTTTTAGGTAGTAAGCGAACAGTACGAAAACAGGCGAAAAACAGAAAAAGTAAGCTCAAGCATTAAATTCTATAAATATTCTCATTATTATTTGATCAATTGATTTAGATGCTTGAGAACAGTCTAAGTTGATATTCTACAAGTTGTATTTTTTTGTATATTTACTTTTAATAAAAATAACTTAAAATCAGGCAATCTAATATCTATAATTTTAATATCATTTAAATTATTTAAATTATCTTAATGAGACGATTCAAATAATATTAAGAACTTATTTTGAAAAGTCCTATTTTTGTTTTGAAATATCAAAATCAGAAAATGAAAAAGGAGTTGTCTGAAGATAAAATAAACAAACTTTTTTTAATGATATATATTATATCTTACTATATAAATAGGCAAGCAAATAAAAATATATAAGACATTTCTATTATGTTGCATGTAATAGATTTTCAATAGTCAGAAATTGAATAATTTAACCAAGTGAGCTATTATTTCAAAATTATCATTGATATTGTATTTTTTACTAATAAATAATTTATTTTTAAAGTTCAAAGCTTTTAAAGCAAATAATCAATGCCTTTATATAAGCTTTAACCTTTAATCAAACTATAATGACCAATAGTTTTTGGATAATGAAGAGTATAACTTTTTTCGAAAAAATATTTTCATACTAGAAATAGCATATGCAAAATTACTATAGACAGCCTATAAATGAATTACATAAGTAGCTGCATGACATTGCTGCACAAAACCAGAAACGGAAAGTTAGTGCTTATAGTGATAGATATTATAAAGAGAATTTTTAACTGAGATTTAACAAATTTATATTAGAATAGATAATTATACATATAATCCAACTGTTGGAATATTTAGATATTCGTTAGTAGTTTATTGAGGCTAATTATGATTTGTAATTGAGTGTTAAGTACGGGTGATCTATGCTATTAGTTTACATACATCATTTGAAGTTTAAGTTTAGCATATTATTATATTAGTTGTCTTTTAAATAATAAACTTTTCTAATGCACTTGATCATAAAGTTAACAAATTTTTTGTAGTTAAAAAAAAGTAATTTTTGTTTTATAAATTAATTTATGTATTATGGAGATTATATACACAATTAACCTTTCGGATACAAAGAGCTTAAAATTTTGTTATATAAAAAAGTTTGTTATAAAGAATGATATTAGGAATTAACAGATGTAGTAATTTTTTATAATTAATAAATTTTTTTCTGTCAGATCTGTAAACCTGTTATAAAAAAGATTGATGTATTTTTTTTCATATATATGGTTAGATGCTTCTAAATGCAACTCTCTTAAGTGCACGTTCTATGAAAACTCCCTCTAAATGCATGTTTTCTTATGAGCCAACTAATATTATGCTTATAGATATTTACCTCCCTAAATGCAATACCTCTTAAATATATTTTTGGCTAAATTTTTGCATATAGTTATGTTATATTGTATTTGGAGAGGTTTGACTATATTTGGAATTAATTAATGTTAAATATATTTCATGGATAATATTGGACTTCTATGTATTTTTTGATTTCTACTAACTGTCTTTACTTGCTTGGCTAATTTATTCGATGTTCATGTATCATGCAGGTGCTTTCACTGATGATATGTATACACAGTTGACAGTTTATTAATGAAAGTCGTTTTTACACTAAGCAAATATAACCTTTTTTACTAAGAATTCAAGTTCTTTCAAGTTCAAAGCTATCCAAGCTAAAAAGCTAGATATTTTATTTTTTAGAATCGATGTGTTATATTAATTACTATACATATTTTGCATGATTTGTTATTATATACTTTCCTATTACTATGCAATAATTTTTACATACTTTTAATTAATTTTATGCAAACTCGAATCACACTATTTATACAAATTCCAGTCATGATCTCTGACACTTGCGCTACAAATTTTTGGGCACCAAATTCGACCATGACAAGATATATAAAGAATTAAGAAAAGTTTTTAATGTGACTATAATTGGGAATTTTAATGTGCTTTAAATTTTATCATTCTTTATAAAGGTAAAATAATATTAATGTGATTTTAATATAATACTAAATTATAATAAATTCTATGTTTAGATTGAAAGTTAAATCAATTTATTATTAAATAGATAGAAATTAAGGAATTTTAATTCAATAATAATTAACAAAATCTCTAACTCTTTTTGACGATCACTCGTACCAAATTTTCCCACCTAACAAAAACAAAAATTTCGTTGGAGTAGGTGAAGGCACTATGCGGCGGTTCTTGTAAAGGTCAACCTTTTGCTCGAGGACTCCTCTACATATTCAGCATGCAAACCAAAAGTGTTGGTATACAAGATAACTGGCAGAGGTGGTGCTCTTGTATACAAAATTTTGGGGATATTAGTGCTCTGATAGAAGTGAAGCTATATTGTCGACAAAGTCAAACATAGACAACATAATAGAAGGAGAACAATTAATAAGTTTTTTTACACACTCTCTTGAAAATTTGAAGCCAAGTGACTTCTATCATACATGTCTCCGCTTTCACGCCTTTCTTCCAAGATTCTTTGATAAAAAGTAGGGATTTGGCTTACCCCTCCAAAAGATCGGTATTGTTTACACCTACCTAATTCAGATGACTCAGTAGAATTCAACCACGTGTTTGTTTTGTTTATCAATACGGTGCTACGATACGAGGAAGAGATCGCCACCCCGTTTAGGAGATATCTGATTTGAGTCAGTGTCCGGAACAAGTCCCAAAGCTAACCCGAAAGTTTACATTTGAGATATAG